CCTCAAGATCCCCTCCACCGGAGATGGGGGGGGGGGGGGAGATTGTCTATTCCTATCGCCCCAGCATTCCTCTCAGCTAGGCCCGCAGGGAGTCCCTCTCCAGCACAAGGAGCAGCTGGCTCCCTTCCTCCAGTGTTTGGGTTCCCCTCATCGACCGCTCTGGTCCTACATGGGTTCCTACTTCAGTTTGGGTTCCTGCATTGGCCCTCCTGGCTCCCATGTGGGTTCCCAGGCTTGTCTGGGGCCTCGCTGCCCCTGACAATCCCCTCTTTTGGGCCCTGGTCATCACCACTCCCTCCTTCAGGGCAGTCTTGGACCCGGCCCTGCGGCCTCCCCCTCCTTTTCTGGGGCCTAGGCCATTTTCCCCAGCACCCCTTGTGGCAGAGGAGGCACAACCAGTGCTCACCCCTGCCCACCTCAGGGCTAGCCTGGGCCCTGCAAGTTCTGTGAGGGCACTCCCTCTTCATGTGCCCCGGCTCCCCACAGGCCCAACAAGTTTGGAGCTCCCCTGTTAACCTCACAGGGGGCACTCTCCTAGGTCCATCGTGTCCCGGGTGGAGCCCCTTTGCTCCAGTCCGGTAGGGGCACTCCCTTCTCAAGTGTTCCCGTCGCCCAGAGGCAAAACAGTCTTTAGGCCCTGGCCTCCAGCCCAAGGTGCCCGGCCCCCGTTGAGGTCCATGTGCCCTCCCCTGCAGCCGCTGAAGCAGCCCTGCTTGCTGCTCGACGAGCCGGGCCACACAGGCTCTCCAGTAATAGTCTCTCATGTTTTCTTCTCCACCGTCTGTTCCTCAATGCTCATGTTCTGAGTTGGGCAATTGTCCCACAGTTCTTTGCCCTGCCCCTTGTGTCAGGGTCAGACCGCTATGCCTGCATTCTCCACCATGTGTAGAGGAGCGGACTCACCCCTGCAGCGCCTCCTGCTGGTGACTTCTGGGAATTACCTCTTCCAGCATCCTGGCGTGCCTCCTGCAGGCTGGTGATCCGCCTGTCCTCTGGCCCTGTGTCCCTCCCAGACCCTGGTGCCCTTGTATCTGGGGTGCTGCCCCCTGGCAGTACACCCCTCAGTACTAGGTAGGGTTACCATATTTAACAAATAAAAAAAGAGGACCCTCCACGGGGCCCTGGCCCTGCCCATTTCCCACCCAGCCCTGCCCCAACTCCGCCCCCTCCTCCCGCCCACTCCCAGCCATGCGAAAAGGGCTGCCCGAGCGCTACGGACTTCACGGTTTGCCGGGCAGCCCCCAGACCCTGCGCCCCCGGCCGGCGCTTCCCCAGTGCAGCTGGAGCCCGGAAGGTGAAGCGCCCAGCCGGGGGCGCAGGGTCTGGAGGCTGCCCGGCAAACCGGGAAGCTGGTAGCACTTGGGCTTTGGGCAGCCCCTATGCCTCCGGA